TATCAAGATATTAATAGGTACATATGACAAGAATTTTGTTATATTCTCCCTCTTAATATAAATACAATATAAAGTTATACTAGTAAAAAATCTTGGTGTGATATGGGGGGGGTGGGGGGGCACAGCCCCTGCCAGCCTCCCCTAGCTCCGCCACTGTCCACATCCAAAGTCCCTTAATGCTCTTGAAAAGCGCACTCCACATCCAAAGTCCCTTGGTACAAGGCACATATCTGGTTTCCTAATTGGGCTACAGAGGCAATCGATGCTACTGGAGTCGCCGCCGCTTAGTTAGAGGTGGCACACGATGTGATTTCATGGACTTTGAAGCTCTGCCTTTCTTAGGTTGTTTAGACCTTAGCTCATATATATTGTATGGTGCGTGCTCTTTGAATTTATTCCCTTCACTTTCATGCACAAATTTCTCCGTAGTTGCTTGCTTAATCAGTAACACGATCACTACTACATAAATCTTAATGGAGGCGGACGAAATGGGTTAATGGAGGTGAGCGAAATCTTAGTTGCTTGCTTTAAGGCGACCGCCTCCGTTAAACCTTAACCAAGGCGGGCGCTCGGGGGGTTGGCCTGGCAACGGATAACCGAGGCGGGCAAAATTGGTGCCCGCCTCCAATAAAAAAAGGGCACCGCCGCGCAAAACAAATCTTGTAGTAGTGGATGAATGGGCATAAGACATCAACATTCTAGTGTCACTGCGAGTTTTCTTTATCTCCCTAATCATCATGTCTACAAAGTCCAAAGGCTTCCCCAACAAAAAATGGTAGAGACAGCCTCAACATCTTTGTGAACTAGTATATTTCTATCTCCACCCATAGGGAAGATGGTCTTATATCCAGCAGCCGACATGTCACATTACAAATGTATTCATTTGCATTTTCAAGCACTTTGGTGTGTGATCCATATTGTCCTTAAGCTTATCATTCCTTTTTTCATTGTCATGCATGGATGAATCAAGTAGAACCTTCTGACAAAATCTCTTCGTAATGGTAATCATCCTATTTATGTCAGTCATCCATGTCAGGAAGGTCCTATTGGGATCTACATAGAATGTGGAGAAGAATTGTCTGATCGTCTCTTCATGTCAGTCTTGTCTTTTAGATATTAATGTATGAAGGCCAATTTAAAGACATTTTTTTCCTTAACATCTTTTAACTCTTTAGAATGGTTGATCTCTTCCCAATTGATCCATTTGTTGCCCACAAAACCAGTGTCTTCATAAACACCAGTGTAGAGGACCTCTTGCTTACAAGGCGAAGCTACACATGTACTGTGGTGTGCATATGCCCCCCCTTAAAATAGCGATTTAGTGATAAAATAAAAAAATTTACTATATATATGCACCCTCTATGGTCGAAGTCCATGCACCCCACAAGGAAGTTGCACCCCTTTAATTTACTCTACTTCGCCACTGCTTGCTCGTAGGACAAAAACTACCCATCTCTTGAAGTTCTGACCTTTTCATATAAATTTGGTCTTTCATTCAAGGACTTCTGAGCATTCTTTGCATACGGTCCTTTGTAGTTCACTTTAAGCCTGTCCACAGTCTAAGATAGTTGGGGCAACTCTTCGAGTGTCTCAATTTTAAGTCTTCCTCCTCAATTATAACGTCTGCTTCCTATACTGCAGCCTCTGTTGTTTCCTCAATTGTAACCTTAACAACCGTCTCTGTTACTTCCTCAATTGTAACGTGAGCATGAGCACTAAACCAACAAAGACGGTTCTTCGCATCTTGGACTAAATAATGCCATATGGAATTACTTTTCAAGAGAGTTTTTCCATGTCCAAGGATCCAAATGCAATTCCTGCTGGGGACGAAAACATACTAGGATTTTGAATGTGTCTAGTTGATCCAAAGGCAGTTCTTTATATCAACAGAAAAGGAACAAAAGTTAACATACGCTAATCAAATACTACCTCCGTCTCAAAGAATGCAATCATTATTTTTAAATAAGTCAAAAAATTTAAAGTTTGATAAAAAAATTTAAAGTTTGATCAAAATTATATGAAAATTTACTCACGTTTATGATACAAAATAAGTATCATTAAATTAATTATGAAATGTATTTTTATAGTAAATCTAGTTGGAGATATAAATGTACTATAAACTTGGTTAACATTAAGCTAATTTGACTAGCACAAATCTTATAGTTGTATTTTTTATTAACGGAGGTAGTACATCCGATGACAGATATTTAGGGCCTGGTTTGGTACCCTCGTTGAATCCTGTTTCGCCTTGCCAGGTGAGGACACCGAGCTAGTCTGCTATTTGGTTCTTTTTGTCTAAGTGCTTTGATACTTGTGCTGGCGAGATTTGGCTTATCCATGTGAGAGAGCCAAATTGGCTTGCTGGCTAGAGCAGGCGTCTCATTTTCTGCGCCAGACAGGTGAGGTAAGGCTAAGCGAGGTGAGAGAAGAACCAAACCGCGCCCTTAGGCTAGTCTACAGTTTCATCAAAGTTTCATTTATATTTAATAAGCTGTCATATAAGCATTTTTTATGATGTGGCAACATTTTTAAGAAGATAGAGAAGTGAATCTCATGAGACGAAACTATTTTGGCACGATTACTAACTCTCCATGAGTCATGAAATTAAATATCTATAAAATCATAGTGTCGGGTTCATAAACCCGGGATCCCTCGGGGACCGGCTTCCACGTCAGGGCTCGACCCAGGAAAACAGCACGTAGTTCATGAACCGGCTCAAGAGTCTAAAGAACAACGGGCCAGAAGGGCAGCCCGGTCGCCGACCGAAAGGTCTACCCAAACGAATAAGCGCCCGCTCGTCAACCTCTTCGGCCCACCTCTCCAACCGGAGCACCCGCTTCAGGCACCAGCCGCCTCCGAGCGGTCTCTCCGATCGGAAGGCCTGGCCCAAAACGCTGCTTCCTACTCCGACCCCGCGACTCCGATCGGGGACCCATAGGAAGCCTGCTTACCGCTCTTCTCCGAGTGGCGCGGCTAGGGCCGACTGGGGCCATCCGACCGGGGACGTCCACTCGGAAGGGACCAGGGGCGAACGGAGAAGGCAGCGCACGTCAAACCACGATACCGGGACCATACCCTGTACGCCTGCGGGAACAGTGCTCCACAACCGCAAACAGTATTGTAGACGCCGACATTTGTGCCTATAGTATTGTAGGCGCCATTAGGGCTCCCATACGGCAAAAAGCCCCCCATGCCTCTGGGTATCGATAGTGGGCGCCAGGATCCACCATACCTGGTACACGTGGTAAGGGCTCCTCACATAACCATCATATTTTGCATGTACTGACATCCACCCTTCCTGAAGAAACCAACGCAACCTCCCATGTGCACCTGACATTCTACAGTAACGTAAACAGTATTGTGAGCGCCTACCATCATCACTACCCTCGTCGACATAGGCAACAAGGCTTAGAAACATCCGAACTCTCTCCCTCTCACCTATAAAGCCACCTCTTTCATCTATAAAAGGAGATGTGCTCCCTCCAATGAAGGAGGTCGACTTCTTCAAGTTGAGATTCACTAGATCGATAGCTCACAACCCCTCAAGCACACGCTTAGACTCCTAGCTCATAGCGGAGTTCCAGTCGCCCTCGACCCTTCCGGTCGGACCTGACCGGGCCTCTTGTACACCCCACCTTTCTCCTTCTCGTTTGTAACCCCACTATAGACTTCGAGCACCTGGGCTCAGGAATAAAGTCGCCGACCGACCCACACTGGACGTAGGGCACGTTGCCTGAACCAATATAAATCCTGTGTCATTGAGTGCTAGGCCACATCCGATCACAACGTACAGCAAAACTACAAATATTCACTAGTTGATCACTTTCTGTACCGACACATAGAATAAATCTCTCCTTTTGAGAGTGGGTGTTTCATTTATATTTTATTTTATTATATATGACATGACAGTCTTACAAATAGCCACCGCGTTCGGCCGGTATAGTTTCAGCTTATTCTCTCTCACAGAATACTATTCAATCATTCAAAACAATAAAAAACACTGTTCACCGGACCATCCGAACGAGCTGAGCGTCATAAAACTGATTGACAGCTGAATTGCTATCCATTAGTTCTGGAAATTTCAGACCATTTCATCCTTATCCCTATCAGTTACCCAATAATGCTCTACCTAGCATCATCCCTATATTATATAGATTTATTATTACGGGAGCTACTATCAGCCGATTTGGTTGTTCTATTGCTTTGTTTCCGAATTGGTTGTATGCATCTCGGTGTAGGCTAAAGATTACCTCCATCATCTGAAATGCTTATATATTTATTTCTAAAATGAGAAACGAGGCTGTGCGATTGATCTCACGGTAGCAGTTTAATTCACAAACTGTTGAGGTTTCAAAAGAGAGCTTACACAACGTGACATTATGAGCATACAACGTACAAGTATACAACCAAAACACCTTGGCACGTGAAGACTGAGTTTCTGTAATGCTGTTTAAGTATATGGATCTAAATTTTAATGACTGCAGTGACCATATACTTCACTTCCTCCTCTAATGTTTAAACCACCCAGAAAGAGTTGGTCCATTGCGTCAGAGAACTTTTTCATGGTCGGTCAGGTAAAAACAAGGCAGCAACCCAGCAGTTGACAATCCATTTTATTGGTTCACATTTGACATGAGGAAATTCTGCACACCTGATTTCAAATAAGAGAAGATACCCATGAATTGAATGCTGAATATATTTGATCACCAGATTCCAAATCAATATCTTAAACAGCAGTAAAAATCCATGAGATGTTTAAACTGAGCAGTAATCTCATGAAATGGTTTGCATAAATTTTTTTCTCATTAGAAGTAAGAACATAAAAGGAACTGAAAACTTTCCTACCAAAGTTTGAGAACCACCAAATTGGTCGTGCAACAAGGCAACTAGAGAAGGTGCAATGTAATAAATTATCTCAAATATCAATCTTGTCATGTCCGTCAACAATCTATTACATAGTCATTGTAGTAAAAATGTACACATGTTGATAAGAGGATACCTCAGCCACCTATATGAATCATGGGTCTATTTGCTGTCTTGGCAATATCAAACATCCCAGCATGTTTAGCTTTCTTCCTTTTAACCTGAACACAGGGAGGTCAAGTCATTAATCAGGATATATATTTGGTTAGTACCCACATAATAACAGTGACCTCCAATCATTAGTCAAGCTCGTATGAAGTGTCCCAGGAACGGTAAAACATATTGCCAAAAAGACAATTTCAACATCCAATACAAGACAAATATTGTAACTTTCAAACAAGTTGATAAGCAAGTAAGAAGGGAATAGTACAAACTCAATACTAAAATAATTAAAGAATATCAGTTTTAACATCCAATACAAGACAAATATTGTAACTTTCAAATAAGTTGGCATCTATGACAATGCACATATTTCTCCTCAAGAAAGCATCGGCGCTTTCTAGCCATTCAGAGGGTCCACGATATTAGAAACATTTACATCATTGGATTTCACTTCTACTGCTCCAGTTTATGCCTCCAGATCATTCAGAGTTCCTAGCTAGCATCTCGTCCTCCAGTTGGATGGAACCTTCGAGATCCTCGTGCAGTGATGAGAAATTCTATGGGACAAAAATATCTCCATCTCTGGAACTATCCATTCCCTCGGACCCCCTCACCTCCGAACACGATGCTGTCTCACCCGGCCACACATCCACTCCCACCCCCACTCTACCTCGCTGTCGCCTGAGTGAGACATAGAACCTGTGCAGACGCCACAAAAGCACCGGCAGAGCTTCTTGCTTCGGTTCTATGCATGCTCAGCCATAGTGTCTGGCGATGGTGTCATCGTCAGCGGGCGCACGTCGATTCCAACTGGAACCGGTGTCTACGCAGACGGATAAGTTACTCCCCACCGGATCTGTGCAGGGCGCTGGTGGCACACAAATTTAAAGCATGCCTGGGCATGTTGGAGGTGGTCAGGCGTGGCGTCATGGTGGAGGCCTGGAGGGCAAGCACACGGGCCCAGATAGTGGCTTCCTTGTCCAGGCCATTATGGAGGGCGATCCTGGATATTCCATCCTCGGCAACCATCTCCACTTGTGACTTGCCATGGGTCCTAAAAATTTGTGTTTTGGCCTCTCAAAATAGGATAGGGCTTCAGTTAAGAGTCCAGTTGGAGACTTGGAGTTGCTCTTAGTCCGACTTGTGACTTGCCATGGGTCCTCATGTGTTCACCAAAATGCTTCTGTGGTGTTGAACGTGTGGTTGAGTGATTGTTTCTTCAATGCAAGTGAGAGAAAGTGGTCCTCGAGATACAAGTTGAGTTCATTATGAGAGGTATTAGTGTCTCTGTTTGATCAATTTTTTGTTGTCCTCGCATCAGCTGAGATTGTTTGATCATTTTCATTCTTTTTTTTTTTGGTGTGCAATGGAGCAGTCAAGGAATTCCCAAAACTAGGATACTTGGCGAGCTTCAAGTTACAGACAGCAAAGTAAGTTTGATTCACTGCAAATTTTACTTTTCATTCCATCTTTTTGTGTTTTTAGAGGCTGAACTACTTTTTTTTTTCATTTCCTCTGTAAATATGTGTGGCAAACGTATGAGTTAGCTTTGCTGTTTTAGTTCCTTAATACCATACATTCATAGAATGAAAAATTAGAAGTGAGCAGGGAAAATTTTCAAATTCTCAATCAAATTGATGTTAGGACCTCAGCCTCAATGCTCACCATTTATGTATGCTGTTCCAAAGGACAGCAGGGTAGACGACAGATGAGTGTTGTTTGAGTCCAAACTACATTTTAAGCACTGGATCAGAACAGGTAAGCACATTTTCACTTTCTTCCTTTTACTCCAATGTCTGATTAGGAAAAAGGTGTTCATCAGCCATGCAATTTGGATATCGATTTTTTTTCTTTGCTATAAACTAATAATCCACTACCTCAAATTACAATGTCCTAGAAGCTGAAAGGTTAGGCTGCAAATTTGCAGCCCAACAAGAAAATGGTTCAGTTAACGAAAGACGCTCACCATTATTCTACAAGTTTTTTTTAGCATAACTTTTACAACGCTTTGTATCTATATGATTTTTAATTACATGCTGTTGGTGGATAGGAGTGTAGAACTCTTGAAAGAGATGTGGGCATCAACAAATATCACAGGTGCTATATCTTGCAAATTTTCATGGCATAAATTTTCTACTTGCTCTTACCACTCCTAAAGTTTGACTGTCCATAATAATCTTATTACTTTTTTTCTCGAACAACGCAGGAGAGCTGCGTGTCATTTCATTAAGAAGAAGAAAGAAACAGAGGGCCAGCAGGAACCGGCCCAAGTACAAAACACCACCCCACACACACACACTTCCAACAGGAAGCAAACTCTTACAGAAAAAATATAAGAGGCAAGAATAATTTTATTACTTTCTAACAATTCTGTTTCATCTTAGTAAAAAACCAGACATACTGAGTTCAGGTATCTTTCAGTATCATAAAATCTGCACCCAGAATTAAGCATATCGTTTGTATTTGAAACTCGAGTAGTAATTCTCAACTCAGAAATAATTAAAATATTAATCAGTCTGCATACCTGCCACTCATCCAGTCTTCTATCTTTAGGTAAATAAGGCCGCATATGCATTTGAATAAGTTTTGTGGGTCAAGTAGTTCTTCCCACACTGTTGAGATCTATGAGTGTCATGTGATTAGATGGATTTTTCCCTTTTCTTAGCGGACAAGATTTGTATTTAGAAATGGATCTCATTTATGTTTTCAGGTGCTCAACGGATATTTGCAGCTGGGTGGCTGGGTGTGGTCCCTGCAGAAGCTAAGGAATTCAATATGTTTCAAAATGGCTGGTGGAGGAATTTGTTGATGTTCGGAAGAGAATTATTCTGATGTTGAAAGGCTGGTCTTGCTCTGTCTGACCAATAAGCATTTGGAGGCTTACAATGCAACCAGTTGGTCTCAAAAGCTGGAAGACCGGCAAATATAGGAGGTGGCACCTGGCAGGAGCAAGCAACCACCGGAAGGAAGAACATGTACTGGAAGGAGATTGCTGGGGTGGATGGACATGGGAGATTTTTGTTGTGCTCTGAGCTGCACAGCGGTGACATAATGCACTGTTCAAGAGATGAGTTGGACAATGTTTTGTGTGGTGTTGTCTTCATTGAAGCGTGTGAGCACTGTTAAATTTGAACCCAGGATTGCAATAACTGTAACTTCAGAAAAAAAAAATGCTACAATCGCGCACAAGTCGCTAGTAAGCAAGTGAAAAGGGAATAGTACAAATTCAATACTAAAACAATTAAAAAACTCCACCATGGTACCTTTCTACTCCCTCTGTCCAGAAAGGATGCAATTCTAGAATAGTGCTAAGTCAATCGATATGAAATTTGATAAAGTTTATATAAAAAATGCTAATATTTATCATACTAAATAGGTATCATTAGATTCGCCGTGAAATATATTTTCATAGTTTACCTATTTGGAGTTGTACATATTAATATTATTTTCTATAAACTTAGTCAAACTTACGATAATCTGACTTTGAGCAGACCTAGAATTGCACCCTTTTTGGGACGAAGGTAGTAATTAAGAAAAAGGCACCAAATTCGCCTCAATGAGGACTTCAACTTTGGTAGCCCGGGCATACATCTGCACCCTTAACCAATCAAGCTAGGTTCAGTTGCTAATCCTCAAAATGGAAGCAGACAAAAAAAAGGCAAGCAAGTTCAAATCTTCAAAAAATCAAGCAAAAGCATGTCATACTTCCTACATAGTAACCTAGTAAGTTTGTTTACATACCGCAGCACCAATTATCTCCTTCAGTCCAGCGTCGTCAACACCATTACGGATGGGTTCTCTCAAACTCACCTGTACAAATCAGGACAATCGTACTAAGATATTTGTATACTGTAAGGAGCATCCATTTCTCCTTTTATCCTGTCCAGCATAGCCAATGAAATTGAAATAAGCTGGAAAGTGAGATTTATTTTCTTAAAACAAAGAAGATTGACTTCAAACGGGAACTCAATCATCAAGGATGCTACACCTAACAAACTTTTGGTTTACCTCCTTGAAACCTGATTTTGAGATCGAAAAATGAAATAAGTAACAAATCAGTTGATGCATTTTAGACTTGAACAAATTCAAATCACACAATATTTGTCCACAAAAGAAGTATCATGTTTGGAATTGCTTAAACATAATAAAGTTCTGAAATAAATTATCTAACAAAATACTTCAATTGAGCTAGGTGCCTAGGTAGATCAAACAAAAGCTGAGAAAAGAATTATCATTGCACACAACATCAAGTGTAACACTGTTCCCAATATGTTGTACTGATTTTCCTAAAAAAATGTTGTACTAATTCTTACTCCTTAACCAACACTCACAATGAGTACAAAAATAATTTTGATGGAATATGAAGTTGCAAAGGTAACTTCAGCATTTAATTCAGTAGTTCATTTTCCAAATTACACAAGGACCAGAAACATTACAAAGGTATATTATCATCGCATCAGGTGGCCATAACATCTAAATTTGTGCTGCAACACTGTAACCACTACTGTCGCAGGGAAAACAACATGACCATAAACTAGTCAACCATAGCAAACTCTTAACATTGGCTAGATCTGTTTACTAATACTTTCATATTAATGAATCCAGAAAGTGTAACATATTAGCAAATTACATGAGAAAGAAAATCGGAAACATGAATCAATGCCATAGCAGTAAAAGCAGTACAGCATACCTCTGAGGGGCCAAATAAGCACACCTTGAAGTTTCCATCAGCCAATAACCGTAATCTATTGCAGCCAGCACAAAAATGTTCTGTCATTGATGTAATAAATGAAATTGTCCCAACATGTCCATCAATCCTGAAATTCTTTGCAGTGTCTGTGGGGTGATCCTGAAGTCTCTCTACTCCTTTATAACTTTGCCGCTGATCAAAATGGATGCCAATGAAATAAGTTATTATTCCATTAAAAAGTAGGTAGTAGCTTACATGATTAAATATATTAAGAAAAGATTGAGTACATAATGCCATAGCTAGACACTGGCAGAAGAATATAGTAGTGCACTTTTCAGAGGTGTACCTTACCACTTTGTCCAACATCTCTGCATAAGGAACTAGCTTCTTCACATTCCAAACATTACCATCAAATGGCATAAACTCAATAAATCTAACATTGATGGGCTTGTGTCTTGTCCATTCAACAAAATTGCAGATCTCATCATCATTTATACCACGCATGATGACACAGTTGACCTGGGTATAGAAAAAGTGTAGAAAAATAATTGAGTGAAACTAAATACTATATGTTCAATTTGAGAATATGTTTCCATGATAGAGAAAACACTTGACTCGATAGGATTGCACGAATTGTAGCATGCAAAAAGCTAAATACCTTAACAGGGCTATACCCAAGTTCTACAGCAGCATCTATTGATTCCAAGACCTTTGAGTGCCCTTTACGCCTTGTCATGAACTCAAACTTTGCAGGTACTAGTGTATCTAAACTTATATTTAAAGCATTCAGTCCACATTGTTTCAACTTTGGGAGTTTCTTCGAAAGAACAATTCCATTTGTGGTCATTGCAAGAGTTTTCAGTCCCTTCAAACCAGAAAGATGCAAACAAATATCTTCAATATCTTTTCGTATGGTAGGTTCTCCACCAGTTAATCGGATCTTATTCACACCCGAGGTAACAAAAAGGTCAGCGATTCGAATTATCTCATCATGTGATAGAAGCTCTGACTTTGGTGTTAGTTCAACTCCTTCAGCAGGCATACAGTAATGGCACCTCAGATTACAGCGCTCAGTCAAGGAGATCCTCAAGTAATTGTGGAACCTCCCAAATGAATCAACAAGCATTTCTGATGATGATGATGTTTCTCTCGATAAAACATCTGGATCGGTAGCACAGGAAGTAGCACATGTACTTGAGCACCTTTGGCTGTCAGTGGCTCTTATTGAAGAGGAAACATTCACCAAACATTGGAATCCTGCCTTCATAGTATCAACCTGCAAATATTGTGAATTATTTAGAAGTGGACAAGAACAAAAATCGGACAAAATGACATATCGGAAAAATGATTTGCTACAATGAAAAGGTAAATGTAATGCATGTTTGGAGCAAAGAACAAGGTCTCGAGAGTGTTCCAAAGTGCTTAAGAAACAAACTTAGCTCCTTTTCAGTAATAACCAACAAGCTTTTGAGACCTTTACTCAACCTTAATTAAAACTCAAATATGATGGAATAAAAATAATACACTAGAACATTTCGTTACTCCATCCATAACTACCCCCCCAACTGAATAGTACCGACATATATTTAAACAATATGATGCACGAACTGAAACCACAAATCAGTACGAGAAAAGTTGTAGCCTGAAGCAGCCTAACAGAGATATACAGAAGTACAGACTAATCACCAAATTCTTACAGAAGTATGCTGAAAGCATTTCAACCAGCAACTAGAAGTATGGTCAGGAATCCTACTGATTTTCCCCTAAAAAAAATCCAGCAACATATGAATAGAAGATTTTACTCATTGAACCAGCAAAGAACAGCTTACAAATTTAACACCAGTAATTAAGTTTTCTGATACGATTTCATGTCGAAACAATTTCACAAAACTGAGTTCCAAAGGAATAGCTTTACTATCACTGCATTCAGTTAGGATCTGGCTGATTTACCTAAAGCAGGGGAAGGAAGCAGAACTTGAACTACTATCTATAGCACCAATCGAGCCGCAGGAAATACACGGTAATAATGTGTAAGAAGCTTAAAAGGACTAGCAACAATAACAAACCCAGCAGCAGGATCGATCCAAGAAGCCCATCCGCCTCAGGAAACAATACTCACCGTGCGATCCGGCCGCCGGCGGCGGGCCAACGCTGAGACGCAGCGCCGCATCATCTCGTCGCCTCCTAATCGCGAAGTCCTGGAACGGATAGCCGGACAAGAAAAATAGCCGGTCGCTGATGCAGCCAGAAAAGAAAAGGTCAAACCGTCCCTGAGACGCTCTATCAAGCAGTAGGCTCAGCCGCTCAGGAGAATGACGAACCCGGCTAGGCGGCCACGCGCCTATAATCAGCGGGCAAGAGCTCGAAAAGAATCCACTTTCCTGGAGGCTGATGAAGAGAAGATAGACAGGATCACCCCCCCACGTGCTGCTGCGAGGCGGGCGGAGAATTTGGCGGTTGCAGCGCGGAAAGGGGGAAAGGGAAAAAGGGGAGGAGAAGCCCGACCTTCCTTTTTGGTTGTGGTGCTTTGATGCTCTCTCTTTGGTACAAGTACTGCAGCAACTCGCGGCTGACTGGTGCCGTCCTGGTTGGCGGCTTAGGGCTTACCCAACGCGGCGTGTTGCATCAGCATACACGTCTGCACTAGATGTTTAGTGTAGCCTTACAGTGTAACAGAGACTCCTGCAGAAGCATCGACGGGTCTCATCTGACCAAAAAAGTGAAGCAACTGCTGGGGTATGCGTTGTGGCGATGGAGCATTAGCATGCGGAGCAGAGAAACGTTGGCTTCAGTAACACTTTTCATACATGGAACACATCTTTTTTCTGGGGCTAATGATGATATATGCCTGTTGCTCTTATCTCCATGCTCCAGAACTCGCATGGCCGCATCGCTGTTTTTTTCACCAACAATAAATAAAACCTAGGAAAAAACAATGCTCCAACAGCATTGCCAAACTCCTCGACATCGCTATTCACACGCCATCCAGCGAGTGCAGCAAGCCAAATTTGGTTGTTCCCTCTCCCGCCGCGGAGGCGTAGCCGGAACACGCAGGCCCGCCGAGCCACGAGCCCTCATTCGCTCTTCCTCCAGAGTCCGAACTCACCCGACCTCCTCCGACTCGGGCAGCAGGCGTACCTGAATCCATCGAGGAGTAAAGGACTAAAGGGGTGTCTGTTTCTTTCTTTAGTCGTTCCTAAAATTTATGTCACATCAAATATTTAGAGGTTAATAAGGAGTATTAAATATAAATTAATTACAAAACTAATTACATAGATGAAGGCTAATTTCCAAGACGAATTTTTTAAGCCTAATTAACCTATCATTAGCACATGTTTACTGTAGCACCACGTTGTCAAATCATGGACTAATTAGGCTTAAAAGATTCGTCTCACAAATTAGTCGCAAGTTGTGCAATTAGTTTCGTAATTAGTCTATATTTAATACTTTATGCATGTGTCCAAACATTCGATGTGACAGGAATTTTAAGAGGAGGAGAAGGAACCAAACAGGCCCTAAAGGCTTCGCCTTCGCGTGTCTGGGAGTCATCGCGACGGCAGACGTGGGCTATGCACGTGGCACGCTGGCTGTTCTTGGAGGCTGCATACACCGGCTATGAATCCGTGGAGGTGGAGGTGTGGCAACAGCGTGACGACCTACGGGCGAGGAGGTGACTAGACTCTGCTAGAGGCATGACGGTGACCTGCGTGATCAGGCGTGATGGCAGTGGGCGAGGTGGAATATACTATGTCGTGGCTAAGAAATATTTGAGCTCATAGAGTCACAGGGTGTGTTTGGTTGGTCCGTTTCACTCATCCTGTATGAGTGGAGTCATATTAAGCGAGAAGCCTGTTTTGGTTGACCACATTGCCTGCATGAGTGGATATAGGCTGACGAGATACACCCAAATCGAGCTTCACTGTCGGGCCAGGCTGAGTGGATACAGGATGACGGTGATGGGTCCACGTGTCGGTCTCATAGGTTAGACAGGTTGCATCCGCTCGTACAGGCAACAAAACATCTGTTTACACCAAAAATTGAAGAGAAAAACGCGGGAACTCGAAGCTTCCAAAATTGTGTCGATCAATGACTCGATTGCGTGAAGATTGATATCAGCCGATTCAGAGGAAACACCGGAATCGACTCTCTTTGAATGACGTCGGCAAGTAACGATAATGGACTATGGTCGGTGTTGGGAGATGCAGATCGGACTCTACAAAAATAGAAAGATTAGGATCCAAGTTATCTTAAGATTAGAAATGTTCTCTTTTATACCAAAGATTGTAATAAGTCGTACTCGAATAGGATTCATGTTTAGGCTCCGGGTATAAATATTAGACCCCGGCTATTGTAAAAGGACACACAATCAATTAAATACAAGTTACTTATTTTTTCGGCTCTGGCCACCCCTTAGGAGTAGGAGTAGAGTAGATCTCGGCGAGTTCTTTAGCGAGCAGGGCTACATCGGTCCGACCGACCTCCGGTTTGTCTGTAAGTACCGTCATGGCTTATACTTCTATTCGTACGGCTGCATCGATCCGGTTGACCTCCACTGCGACTCTGGTATAAGCTAGTTATCGACTCTTGTTTAGTTCAAGTACGGCTGCATCGATCCGATCGACCTCCACTGCTCGAACAAGATTAAGGTCAAGTTATCGGCTCTATCTAAGGATGACGTCCTTCGAATAGATTCATTAAGTTACCAATATTGCTTATTGCTTTCATTATTTATTTAATTATAGCAATATCACTTCGCCCAATTGGGATTGATCTAGATTAGCCTTATATCATGTTTAACCCATCGTTTATTAATCTAAATTGATCTAATCTGCTGAAAGATCCTTGTGTGGTTTTGGTAATTAAGTGACAACCTTAGGTGGACTAATTGTGTTAATGTGAGATACACAGGTGATTAGTCCACAAGAACATATGTGTGAGCAACATATGCCGTGAATGTGAAAATGGTTTGGAGATGTTGCAAAGCTCACACATGTGATGATGAAGGAGCTTATTGCACATGAGACATGACATTGAGTCATGTGATCAAGGGTGGAGAAGATCAAGACAAGACTTGGCTTGATGGACCGGTTGCAAGCGTGAAGGGCAAGTCGAAGGCTTTGGAGCGATGGACCGCGTGGCGGTGAAGCTTGAGCAAGACTTGGCGCCGATGGACGAAGGCAACGGTGAAAAGCAAGTGAAGTCAAGATCGATGAACCAATATGATCATGTGATAATATGAAGTGGATCATATAATTGTTGATCATGTTGGTGCATGTGTTGCATCGATATTGGAGGAGATGGAATGAAATGCGCAAGGCAAAGGTATAACCTAGGGCATTTCATTTCACCGGTCATAGGTGTGTAGAGAAGTTGATGACCGGATTTAGGATAGATGGCCGTACTATCAGGAGGGGCAAACTTGTTTGCATATCGGTCATCTAGTGCCACTCGAGTGATCTAACTTTGCATCATCGCTAGGATCGAGTGGCGTGGCAAGTTGAGTGGCTAATCCTTTGAAAAATATTTGTGAAAAGCTAACACACATACACATGGTGGTGCACACTTGGTGGTGTTGGCACATTTACAAAGGAGAAGAAGTTAGAGTTGTCGTGAATCAACTTAGAGAAGAGAAAAATGTTTTTCGGTGTACTCTAAACTATAGGATAGTCCTTGGATTGGAATACTATTTTGATCCATTGTGATTTGGATCAAGTATGCATGTGGTATGTGTAGCCCTCTGAGTAAGATTTCTAAAATGTCCAAGATCATCGAAATCGAAGTTCGGAGCTAAGAGTTATAGTCGTTTTAGTGCCGAAAGGTCTATGACCGGACGCTGGCGCGAAAAAAGGCCGGACGCTGGGGTCCAGCGTTCGGTCAGCACCTGCGAGTCCGGTCACAGCGTCTGGTCAGTGTTTTTAGCGTGTCTAGAAGCGATCGGACGCTGGAAGAGTCCGGTCAGTGATGACCGGTCGCTGAAAAACATCGCTGGAACATCTCTGTAAGTGACTGGACGCTGGGTTCCAGCGTCCGGTCGTTATGACCTACGCGTCCGGTCAGTACGCGCTTTGCCCAGTGAAGGGGTAACAGTTAGTTTAGCCCTTGGGGCTATAAAAGGAGTGTATGGCCGGCCTTGGGCTGGTTGCTTAGCACCCTCATGCCTATATGGCTTGTGTAGGAGTGTTTGGATGCCCTCTAACTCACTTGTGCTTGCAAGAGTGCGAATCGATTGCGAGTGAGTGTGATTCTAGTGTGTTGCATTGTGAGATTACATCGAGTGGCACTAGGTGATCGAGTTGCAAGCCGGTGGTGCTTGTTACTCTTGGAGGTTGCCACCTCCTAGATGGCTTGGTGGTGGTCTCCGTCGAAGCCCGCAAGAAGCTTGTGCGGTGCTCCGAAGAAGAGCTTTGTGAGGGGCGTTGTGCTCGCCCCGCGGGAGCCACGAAGAGCAACTCTAGTTGAGCGTGTCACTGAGCTACCCTCACTTTCGGGGTAGGTTCTTGCGGTGCCCGACGTGCGGGCTTGGCGGGTGATGCCAATTAGCCGCCGAACCACCAAGTGAGTGGTCGACACAACAGGGACGTAGCGTGTTGGCAAGCATGTGAACCTCGGGAGAAAATCACCGTGTCAACCTTGTTCTTCCCGTTAGTTTACAATCCCCTTACACAAGCTTATAATTACTTTTATATACCTTGTGCTTGTGTAGTTGCTCTTGTAATTAGTTAGCTTGTGTAACTCACTAGTTACCTTCTTGCTTGTGTAGCATAGAAGTAGCTCCCTTGCATGGCTAATTTGGTTTGCGTAACCTTGTTAGTTAGGTTGCTTAGTTTGTGTAGCTAAGTATTTACACTATCTAATTTAGCATTGGTTGTCTTGTTATTGAGCATTTCTAGTGAGCTTAGTTGGCTTTGTTTGCTTACTAGCATGTGTAGGAGCTCCCTCATTGCTTGAAATACTAGTGGCATAGGTTTGTGTGACCTTGCTACTAGAATTGATTAGGTGAGCTCTAGTTAGCCCGGCACCTTTGTTGCTTAATTAGGATTTTTGCAAGGTGCTAGAGAACATAGATGGATGTAGTCTTGGCTAGACCGATATTTTTAATTCCGCACTTATCTCGGTTAGCCGATGCGATTAAGTTTTAGAAATGACTATTCACCCTCCCTCTAGTCGTCATTT